TCCCTCTCCCTCTCCCTCTCCCTGCCCCTCCCCCCCTAGCGTGCGTGTACTCTCTCTTTCAAAACAGAAAAACGAGACGAAACAAGACCCAGGTGTGGGAAAGAGGCCTGGCGATGCGAGCGGCTCAGCGGCCAGGCGAGCGCCTCACCTTCAGCCACTGCTCGGCCTGCTCCTTGCTCTGCACCGCGAGCACCAGCGGGTCGGTACCCTGCTGGGTGATCTTCAGCTCGTGCTTCTTCTTCTTGCTGTCCTTCGGGATGTACGTGACGCTGCAGCCTTGCAGCGGCAGCTCCATCTGTGGCTGCTGGTCCTTGGAACTCTTGTAGCACTGCATTCAACACGAGACAGCGGAATCAGGCTTAAGGAAGTGCAAGCAGAAAGGCTGATAAAACCCCGGCGCGACGGAGGGGCCGGCGCCCGCAGGAGGTCTATCTGAGCAGCGGAGAAGCCCCGAGGCTGGGGACTGGGTCTGCAGACGCACACGCGTCACCCACACGGGGCGCGCTCCGCATGGCACGTCCCCCCCACGCACGTGAAAATACATCCGCTGGTGGTTCAGCCAAGTTTACCGAGCATCGATGACCCGACTCAGCAGAAACAGAAACTCCCTCCTCTGATGGGGATCAGGTACCAATGGAGCGTCCTCGGGAAGCGACAGGAACGTGATACACCAGAACTGCCGAAAGGCACACCCCTGATGTGGGCAGACGATACTCTGGATGCTCTATTCTACAACCTACATCGCTGGGTATCCGCCTGTCTCATCCTATCCCCTTCATCCCCATCAACGCGTCCTACACAACATGTCTGCAAGCGTTTGCTTTCTAGTTGAGTACAGGATCCAAAGTTCACACGGCTCCATTTACACAGCAGACATCCACTCTAAAGATCTCAGTGCCGTGGTGAGCACGAGGAGTTAGTTCACATCAGTGGTGTGTAATCCGGATCTGTAAAATCCGGACTAGAATCAAATCTTGTCCAAAGGTTTCTCCTCCCACCTTGGGTCTAATTGTATTACTTAGGACCAACTGTACACATCTTCATGGAAATAGATGGTCTGAGGGTTCAGGCATCCAAGTCCTACTCTGTCACTGATTGTATCTGGCCCCTGGGAAGTCTCTCAAGCTCTCTGAGCCTGTTTCCACATTTGTAACACAAACTATTGCTGTGATTATCACTATTTTATGGAGTCACTAAATTATCAGTAACTATAACACCTCCCACCAAGTCAGCATCATATGAGGTATTTCATAATTTCATTTGACCGCCACAGCTGTCCATGTTGCAGACTAGGGAACTGAGGTTCACCTGGCTAAATAGCTTGCCAATATCAGACACCTGGAAACTGGTAGACCCCAGCCCCACATGGCATGAGTGCAAAGCCCACTACCTACTGGGGAGGGACAGGAGGAACAGACCCCTATTTTCAGAATGACTTCCAGAGTCCTCTACTTTCCAGTTCTAAAACCTCGGCTCTTGAGCACCACAGGTATGGAACACATCCACTTTTTACAAAAATCCGCTTGATGGCTGCCCCGGTCTGAAAAGGAAGGAAAAAAAATACACCGAATCCAACTAACCCTGGATTGTTATGAATACTTACCGTTCGGCAGTCTCTTGTATTCTAGGTTAGCGCGAGAAAGGAAAGAAACAGAGAAGAGGGAATTGACAGCACGAGGGGTGGGAGTTAGACGGGAAACGTGACAGCTTGTATTTTTCTCCAGTTAAATGTCTCAAAATGGGATGTGTCACCAGCCCTACGCGAAAGTGCAGGCTGGAGACCCCTGCGGGTTGGGCTCCCGGGGACGCAGACTCTCAAACAGAGGACGGTGTGCGGTATCTATCGGGGCGCCCCCTGAGAGCCACGCCCGCAGGACGGGGGGGTAGTAAGAGGGGGCAGTTCAGATAAAAGCCCTCAGCTGAGCCTGCGGGATCTCTGGAGCTGGAAGGCACCATCGGGGCCGTCCTGATGCAGACCCCAGAGGAGGGGCCGTGACCTGGGCGAGCCGTCCTGAGGGGCGTCTGGCCCATCACGGCGTCCACCGCAGGGCCGCCTGGGCACGGAAGGTCACAGATGCCAGGTGCCTACTCGAAAAGCTGAGGATGACGATGCTGATGGGCAGGAAGGCTCACTTAGGGAAGGGCCTGGCTTTTTGTTTTCCACTGACAGTTTTCTGTGCTGTTCAAACTTGGAAAGCATTCGCTTTCGTCACTGTTGATGTTTTTTCAGTGTCAACAGGGGTGATCTGGGCACTTGCATCATAGGTCATTTTTGAAAAAAAAAAGCTTCATCCTAGTAATAATTAACTTGGATTCTGCATTTTGTCAAAGAAAGTGTTTTCACATGGTTTTTCCGTTAGTTTCTTCTGAAATGTTTACAACGAATCTAAATGGTAGGTGTTTTCATCCTGGGCATCCTCTCATTTGCAAGAAACGAGAGGGGAGGGGAGGGTGTGGAAGAGGAGGACGGTCGGTCGAGAGGGGTAGGGGGGCTGTGGGGCACCGAGGGCCCTGCTCCCTGACTGCTGAGCCCGCCACACAGCCACCTGCTTCCTGCTCCTGGTTCAAAACCCCACATTCACATGAGTCCACTGCACGTTGTTGAAGCATTTACGTAACACGGCCACATCTTGCAGCCATTATGTCAGATTGTAAATAAGGACCATATTAATCTTTTAAATCTGTTTTTTTTTTTCATTCTGTACTTTAAAATTCCCGCATGGCATCATTTTTGGCATATTCTAAATTTGGGAGAAATTCAGGCCACACATGTGGAAAAAATATGTATTCTCAGTGTTTAAAAAAATTGTTTTTAACCATTAATTTAAAAATATACAACGCCCTAAGCATCCAGTAAGCATTCCCATGATTCACAGAAGAAACTGTAAAGAACGGGGTTACCCGCTCCACTCAAGGGTGACACACAGAATCATAAATCCTCCCGTGTTCTGTTTTTTTTTTTTTAATTTTTTTTTCAATGTTTATTTATTTTTGGGACAGAGAGAAACAGAGCATGAACGGGGGAGGGGCGGAGAGAGAGGGAGACACAGAATCGGAAACAGGTTCCAGGCTCTGAGCTGTCAGCCCAGAGCCCGACGCGGGGCTCGAACTCACGGACCGCGAGATCGTGACCTGGCTGAAGTCGGACGCTCAACCGACTGCGCCACCCAGGCGCCCCAACCGTGTTCTGTTTTAACGGTAGAATTTGGGGAGAACCTTTTCTCCAAGGTTAATGAGAAGGAAAAAGCAAATGCAAAAATACACTCTACGATTCACAGTTCCGATGATCAACCACGTTTTCTACGAAAGCTGGAAGGACAGAAGGAGCAGGGGGGGAGGGACACACGCTCTCAAGGGCTCTGGCTTCCTCAGGGGGGCCCCTGTGGGAAGGACACGGCAGCGGGCGGCCCGCGTGTCCCTGTCCCCGGCTTCCCTGTTTCTTAGCCTGTCTTCCTCTTCAGCCCCTCAGATTAAACAACAAGAAAAGAATCTGCCTTTAGTTTTCCAAAAGAATTTCCTTTCCTGGGCACTCTCCCCGCAAACCGTGGCTGGCCCGCCCGCCCCACTCGATGACCTGGCTTTGAGGAATTCACTGACTCACTACAAACGAGAAAATCCATCTTGCGCCGTCTGGCAAGTTAATGCCCGTGCGTTTCCATGGGCACACGCCACAGACGTTAGTGGCCCGGGGCGGGAGGGACTCTGCCCACCGGTGGGGGCAGGAAGCGGAACCGAAGGCACACAAGGCTCGGTGCCCACGGCCCGCACTTACTGCCCGGCGCCCGACCGCGGTGAGCGCACCCACCGCCCGGAGGCCACTTCCCCCCAGCGGACGTCAGCGCCACCCGGGGACCGATCCCATCGAGTCAGACTGCCGCCCGATCCCGCCGAGCCTGCGCCAGCACGAGCCGTGCGCGATGCATTACCAGCAGCTTGGTGTCCTTGATGACACAGAGGAGCTTGCTCCACTGCCCGAAGCGCTTCTTCCTCAGCAAGAAGGCGCAGATCTTGGCGTCCTTCACCAGGTCCATGGAGGCCTCCTCGGACGGCCACTGGTGCCGCGTCTTCTTGCCCTTTCCATCCTCCTCCTCCTCGTCATACGACTCGTAGGAGCTACTCATCGCGTCCGAGTCGTAATCTGCCAAAGTGAGGAAAGTGGTAAAGGTAAAGCGCCTGCCTGCAAAAGCCTTATCTGGAAGCTACTGCTGCTCTGGGCTCCAGAGCACGTGCGCCGAGCCAGTAAACGAGGAAGGGGCTCTGGGTTCCGTGCGCCACGCAAAGAAAGGGCAGTTAGTAAAAACGGGGGGGGAAAAAAAATCAACAAGACAGCCGGTGGAAGCGAAGGAAAAGTTTTCAACTGAAGGGCCTTAGAATCCTTCACCCGTGAGAAGCAGCCCTAGACTGTCCAGCGAGGGATCGGCCGCCTGCAGACCCCACGGCGTCGGGTCTTGGCCCCGCCGCTGCCTGGCGAGCGGGCCCCCGGTTCAGCAGTGTGAACCACCAGCCGCAGAGCGCGGCCCTCCCCTACCGCAACACCAGGTCAAGGCTCTCCGGGGTCTCCAGCGTCGCCCCGTGCGCATCGCCACGCCCTCGCTGCGGACGTTCCAGATCCAAGCCAAGGCCGGCCCTCTCCTCGAGTCCTCCTCGAGGCCTCCGGACACACGTGCGCCCGTCCTTCTCATGCCGCAAGGCAGTAACGCTTCGTATCAGATGGCGTCCAGTCTCCCGAACGCAGCACATCCTCCCTCGCTCCTGCGGCGCTTCCGCCTCACTTCCCGTGTGTCCCACTCCATTTCCCTTCGCCTGAATGAATGTTCTCGCCTTTCACGATTTAATTTATGGGCACCTCCTCCACGATGCCCTCCGTGAATCGCCAAAGCCGGTCCTCCCTAATTCACATGCTGAAGCTCTCGCCCCAGCGAGACTCTATCTGGAGACAGGACTTCTGGGAGGTAATTATGCTTAAGCGAGGTTATGTGAGGGGGGTCCTAAAGCTGGTGTCTCTCTGGGGAGAGCAGGCGCGGGGTCTTGCTCTCTGTCCGCCACGTGAGGACACTCAGAGACGGCGGCGGTCCGTGAGCCAGGACGAGGCCCTCGCCGTGACCTGACCGGGCCGGCACCCTGCTCTCGGGCATCCAGCCGCCGGCACAGTGAGGAGACAAGCGTCTGGTGTCGGGCCACCCAGTCTGCGGCGTCTCGCTCCGGCAGCCCGGGCTGAGGCACTAGGCAAGACGCCCCTCGTATCTGCCTCCACAGCCTCCACCGTGCTGTCCTGCTGTTTGTCGACCCCCTGCGTCAGGCTGCAAGCCCCCCAGGGAAGGGAGACCGCCCTGCAGGATGCGATGGCCCCAGCACAGGACAACGTACCTGGCCCGGGGCAAGGAACCAGGGTCCGCAGAAGGGCGGACTGCTGGATGAACCCGTTACACCTGCCAAGCCCTCGGACGAACGGCTGGGGCAGAGTCCAACGAGTGCGAGGGACCGTCCGTCTTCTCAGCCTCAGCCCTGCCAGACGACAGGCTCCTTGACACGGTGCCGGCTTCGCCTCTGCACTCTCCCGCACCCCCAGACACATCCGGAACACCTTCCCTTCTCAGGACACGTCTGAGAGACGGACGGACATCTACACGACGCGTGACTCGGGTGGACGAACTACGGTGGACATGGCCGGCCGCGCGGTTCTGGAGAAATGGCAGCCGCAGACCTTCCGCTCGGCAGAATCCGCCTCTTGGCTCGCTGGGAACTGGGTTACAACCTGCACTCAGCGCTCATGCCCGCGCTCGAACGTCATCACGGAGAATCAGTACTACGAGCGGGGACAGCTGTTCGGCCGGGTTTTCAATCACGATGAAGCGGTCAGGGAAGGGTGTCCAGCAAGAGCTTGTGGGGGCAGCGCTGAGAATGGGTGCGGTCGGGGGGCAGAGGCCGGCGGCCCAGAGGCACCTGCGTCCTGCCGATGAGGACCTACCCAGAGGACCAGGCAGAGGGTGACTCCAGGCCTGAGAAGGGCCCGGCCCGAACTGCTGCGGACAGAGAATGAGAGAACGGCCCGTTCCTGCCCCTGCGCAGACATACAGCCTTCCCCTGGCGGTCGGGCTGTCCTCCCCGAGGAAACGTCCTCCCCATGCGCACGCGCACCCACACCACCGCCCCGTTTAATGCAGGAGTCGCAACAGCTACTTAAATTCAGGTCTAAGTCAAGTCAAAGAAAATCAGGTGTCAGTTCCTCTGTGGCACTAGCCACATCTCCAGAGCTCAGCACTCGCGGTGGCAAAGCGGACGTGGTGCCACAGCCCAGACGGGGAGCGTTTCCACCGCCGGGGAAGCTGTCCGGCCTGTGTTGGAGTGACTCATGCGTGCCAGGTAGAGCGGGGCAGGCCGTGGGAGACAGGCCGGGGGGGTCGGCACACGGGGGGCAGGGGACACCAAAGGTAAAACTCGATCCAGACCTTTCATGCGTCGGTGCCAACCACACACAGGAGTCGAGGAGGAACGCAGAGCAAAAGCACCGAAAACATCAGAGCGGAGCCTCTTGTTTTCCAGTAGCACCTACATGCTTGCCACAGAGGCCACGTTACTGGTTACACTTGTGGGGAGGGGCTGGGATGAGGAAGGGGCACACGGGAGCTTCTGGGGCTGACGCGTTCTCCTCGTGACCTGGTGGCGCTTCCACAGATATCCTGGATCGTAAGTCAGTAAGTCCATATGCATATTTTGAGTACTTTTCAGTAAACGTACAATGTTTTACAGTAAAAGGGTTTTAAAAGTTCAGCATGGCTAGAGCAGAGCTCACGTGGCGGGGAGTGGCGAGGCACGACACTGAAGGTAAGTGGAGGGCCGCCAGACTCGGAGAGACCCAGTGCGCACGGAGGTCTCGGAGGGGCGATGCACAAAATCAGATTTTTCCTTCCCAAAGGTTATGCCCACCATAGTTTGAAGGACCAGGAATCCCTCAGTGCTTAGCTCATTTCCTGGAATAGTGAATCCACTTAACACTTAGCAAACGAACGAGCAACAGCATTAACGAATACTTACAAGTGGGAGAAAGACCTTTGATTTCATTCACGCAACAAGTATTTTACCAAAGGCTCACGATGCATCAGATATTACTTTTCTTATTTATACAGTTGACCCTTGGACACAGTCTGAACTGCACCGGTCCACCTGGAAGCCGATTTTTTTCAAAAAACGCAGGACAGTCCTGAAGATGTATTTTCTCTTCCTTATGCTTTTCTTAATACCATTTTCGTGTCTCTAGTTTACATTATTGTGAGAATACAGTACATGATACATATGACAAACGAAACGTGAGCTGATGGACTATTTGTGCTCACGGTTAAGGTTTCCAAGCCAACAGCAGGCTAGCAGCGAAGATTTCGCAGAGTCAGAAGTTACGCACGGATTTTCCACTGTGCGCAGGGCCCGTGCCCCCACCCCCACGGTGTCCCAGGCCATCTGTGCTTCCACGGGTACAGCCATGGAAGACCAGGCCCCCGCCCCTGAGACGGGCGCACCTCAGTATCGTGGTCCCCCCTGAGCCGTGGTCTCACTTTCTGTGGTTTCAGTTTGCCACGGTCGGTATGATCCAGAAGCAGGTGATTCTCCTCCTGACGTGTGGTCAGAAGGTCACCAGCAGCCTCACGCTGCGTCACGTGCCCACGTCACCTGCCTCCTTCATCTCTGCACATGAGCACTTGTCATCTCACATCATCGCAAGAAGAAGGGTGAGGGCAGGACAGTAAGACGTTGAGACAGAGAGAGAGAGAGAGAGAGAGAGAGAGAGAGAGAGACCACATTCACACAACTTTTATTACAGCAGTTGTTACACTGGTTGCATCGTTGTTAATCTCCTGCTGCCTGATTTACCAATTAAACTTTATCACAAGTATGTGTATAGGAAGAAACACAGCACATACGGGGTTGGGTGCTGTCTGCAGCTTCAGGCATCCACGGGGTTCCCGGAACGTCTCCCCCCCGGAGGAGGATGGCCAACAGGGCCCCTGGTGGCCCTCTCTGTCCTGGGGAAGGCTGAGGTGCCCAGCGGAGAAAGACAGCAGGTTCGCTGCCCACCCCCCCCCCCCACCCCCCGCTTCTGAGAGAGAATCGGCACATTCCTTTTTAGGAGACCGGCAGCCAACTTAGCAGGAAACACAGAGCAGTCAGGGGTACTGACCACAGTCTGAGCCTAAAGGAAAGTCAGTCTCTGAGAAGTCTCTCCAACGCCTCCCCAACGGAGAGCAGGACGTCTCATTACCTCCTCATTCCCTGCACCCCCCGGTGGCTCCAGCAGGACTTCAAGGAGCTCACTGTCTGGGGCTGGGGTTTGGAATATATTAGGAAACAATGAGGACTTTGTGAAAAGTTAAGAAGGACCCGGGACGGGGGAGGAGGAGAAAGAATCACCACCGGCCTTCAGACCTTGAGGTAAGCGGAACGGGTGTTTCGGAGATGGATGGAGGGTTTCCTTTCGGCAAAGTCCGAGAGGGTGCTGATTAGAAGCCCCCAACCCCCGGCGTGTCCTGGCATCCCGTGTAGACGTCTACACTCCTTATAGACCAAGGAGGCAGCCCAAAGAGCCAGCCAGAGACCTGTGTGGATCTGTGTGTGTGCCTGATGTCACTGGTTAGGAAACAGTCCTCAGGCCAGACTAGTCCCGTGGGCAGTTGTGATGGAACCAAAGAACATTCCGATGGTCAATTACTTGCAAGCAAAAACGTTAAAATGCGTATCGTAGACCTATCTCCATAGCCCAGAAATCAGAACATTTCAACCAACTGCCCTTGGGGAGCAAGAGGACAAGGGGCGCGGGCAACCGGGAACCAAAAACAAGATGAAATGTGGATCTGAACCCAAAGCCCCAACAAGATCCACGGCGACTGCCGCCAGCTCAGCCAGGCTGGACCCGGCTTCCAGCCTTCCTGGCCTGTGTGGCCGGGGTGAGGGCCAGCACCACGGGCCGCCACCAGACGCAGACCGGAAGGCAGAGGGAACAGCGGCAGCTCCACTCTGAAGGAAGGTCGAGGTCACCGGAGGGTGCCAGGCGCTGCCGGGGCTCGGCCCCCGGTCCCAGAAGTGTCGCCCGCCCTGCTGCGGGGCCCCCTCCCGGGGCAGCTCGGATCCCCTCGGTCCTGCGCCACGGCCAAGAGCACCGGCATCTTCTGTGTCGCCCGTGTTGCCGAGTGTGGAGGGACTCACAGGCAGATGGACTTGTCTCCGTGAATTTCGGTGAGGCCCTGAGCCCCGCGACCTCCAGCCGGCTGCTCTTCCAGACTTCCGAGCCACCAGATGCGCAGGCAGCGGCTTTCGTGGACTTCTACAGCTGCCGTGACTGTGTGAGGTCCACGTCACCGTGGCTCTGTGTCTCGGATCATACCCTGTTCTAGAAGCTAGCAGAAGCCTGACGGAAGGCAGGCCCCTAGAGGTGAAGCTCGGCGCAGACCCTTTAGGATTTCAGGGCACGGCGACACCAAACTCTGGAAACACTTAGTTTACCTTGGAGAAACTGCTTTTGGCTCACGGACACCCTAGTGGCGTCTAAATGCTTGGTCACGGGTGCCCCAGCTGCCCAACACGGGCTCCGTGTCACCTGACCCACCGCGGAGAACCCGACCCTCACATCCCAGCGGTCTGCGTCCATTGGGCTCCTCCAGGCCCGGAAGCTGTACGTAACAGGTAGAAGCTAGTAGTTCAGATGCACGTGGTCCTGTTCCTGCCACACGGGCTCCTTCTCCCAACAGGGACCTCTCGTCATGGCCTACGGCTTGGCTGCGTGGTCAAGACTAGAGACTAACTGGCAGCAAGAAGGTCTGCAGCGGGGTGCGGACAGGCCTCCCAGATACGCTGGGAAGGTGAAGACTGACATACCGGGAGAGCTCTCGGCAAAGCCTCCGCGGAGGGGCTTCGTGACCGGGGACATGACACGGCCCGTTACACGAGCGTCGGCCAGCCTCTTTCCCCAGGCTGCCCGTCCAGATGCATTCACGCACAAGTGGCCGTGGTCCGGGGATGGACCTCCGCTCGGCAGGGTCAGTCTGACTCCTGGCCCTGCTGAGGGCCCTGCCCGCACATGACCCTGTGCCCCGCGGCCCCAGCCGGCCCACCTGGAACTGGACCACGTCCTCCATGGAAGGGGCAGCGATGCATTCTCACTGGAAGAGATCACTCAAGACAATCCGCTCTCCCCACCACGATGCTCTTGCAGAACGCCCCGTTCACCAGCACGGCATCCCGCAACGTTGCTTGTGACCAGAGAACTCTGTTACAGCAGATGCAGCCCGCGCTATGGGTCTGTGCTCGTGAGACCCACTGGCCATGCTGTGTCCCCGTCCCCTGAAGCGGGTGACCCAACAGGCCAGCGGAATACCCTTTGAATACCCAGTTCTAGGACCAGCTTGACTGGTCACCCCTGGAGACTGGGGGTGCCATCTTCGAGAATACCTTCTGGTAGGGTGTGCTGTGCCTCAGTTTCCCCCAGAGCCAGGGCTCACAGGTCTGGGAATCTAGGGCTGAACACGGTAGTGGCTCCTATCTCTGTTAACCCTAGCGATCACGGACATTTCTGCCTCCCTTCCCTGACAACTTTGGCTCTGCAGCCCACAGGTCTTAGTTTCTAAGGGCAGAACATTCCCTCCAAAGGACACAGTGACTGCTCCGTTAACCCAAAAGTGGAGACAACGGGGGGGGGGGGGGGGGGCGGTTATTCCAGTGGCTGGGGTGACTAGTCACGGCCACACCAGGGCGAGGGGGGCGGGGGGTGCAGGTCTCTAGGGTGGCCCCGGTACTCCCGCTCCCTGTAAGTGAACCATCCAGTGCAGCACAGACCTTTCGGGAAGGAAAGGTGAGTCATCTTACCGGGTTGATTGGCCAAGGTGCTTGCCAAAGCCAATGGGAACAGGAAGGAAGTTACAAAAACGAGCCATGACCACTGACCAGTTGTAGAAATGAGGACGGGACTAGTTACACACAAGGCTACTCATCCTGACTCTGCTGTGTGTGTCTCCCCCATTCCCTACGATCTCACGGCAGAAACTCTAATGGCAGGTGGTCGTGCATCACAACCTTCAGGTTACGGGCTCCCAAAGGGGAGAAAGACCCCGCGGGAAGAGCAAGGGACTTTGCCTCCTCTGGGGTGGAGGGCCGGGGAGCTTTCTGTGATACAGGTGACAGTTGGGTCCCATGACCCTGCACTGTGACCCTGCACTGTCCCTACCTGGAAACCCAACGCGGTTCAGAGCGTGTGCCTGGGTGCCAGACGGACGCCGGAGAAACAGCGGTAGCTTTACACCACATCAACCGAGCAAGGCTGCAGTGACGTTGCCCAGAGTCCCTTTCTCGGCTGGCTCTGGCCACAAGAGAGGTCTGCGAGCAGTCCGGAAGGCCGGAGGGGAGCGGCCTCCAGCACTCTCCGCAGGCTGGCGCGGGGGGCGGGCGCTGCTCCAGCGCGCACACAAGTCGCCGGCCAGCCTTTGCTGGGCCCAGAGCCCGGGCAGCTCGTGCAGGTCCTGTCCCTCGTCGTCGGAGGCCCGGCCAGGCGCGTGCAGCTCTGCGGAGGCACGTCCCCGTCTGCCCTCCCCCTTCCTCCGGATCCTCAGCGTTTCTTCCCAACCACCAGCCCTGCTCCATGGGCCTTTCTGGCCGTTTCCACAGCTGCCTAAGCCTCGTTCCCTTCACAGACCCTTCATTCCATGACACTCTTGACAGCCTGCTTCTCTGCTAGACCCACACCTGACCCAGGGTTCGACAAGCAGTTGCCGAGTCCCTAAGGAACCATCTGGAAGCCAGCCCGCTGCCCGGTTTCTCGGGAGCGGGGGGAGGTCCTCACTGCCAGCTGTGCAGCCGCAGACACCGGACCGAGGGAGCCACGCGCATCAGCCCCGCTGATTCGCGGCCCCGAGCGTGCGTCCCGCTGGTCTTGCTTCCGGAGCGAGCTCAACAAAAGCTCCCCACCGCCAGTAAGTGTGGGACGGCTTCTCTGAGGAACAGGCCAGGACACCTCACTGACGGGGGGCTCCTCAGACAGGCTCCCCGACGTCAAACAAAATGACTACCAGGTTCTGGCCCAGACAGTGTGTTGCGGGTGGGGGAGAGGGAAGGTAGGAGAAAGCTAGAGCCAGACTGTTCCAAGTGCTGGGCAACCCTTGTCGAAAAACCCGTTTCCCTGTGCTCAGTGCAGTGACAAAGCAAAGGACTCCAGTGAAGTCCTGAATCCACCGGGCTGTTTCTGTTTCCATGTTTTCTGAGTAGGCCCCTGATTTCTGAGATGGTGGACACTTAGAAATTACTCGAACGCATTTTCCATGAGTAGTTTTTACATAAAAGAAACATTAGAACACTTGACTTAGAGACCTCAAAGCCCGATAGGGCCTGGCCTCTGTCACAGAACCGTCCCCTTCTCCCTCAGCGTGCACCTGTTCCGGAAGCCAGGCAAACTGGCGCCCTGCCCTCAAAGGGCCGGCGGTCCCGCTCGCTGGGTTCTCACGCAGAAGACGTACCACGGGAGGAGGCCCTCCTGGAACGATCCAGGGAGACGGCGGCAGCACCTCCGCCTGCCTGCTGCCAGGGGACACGGAGGTCAGAGACCGCAAAGTGCCGCCTGGCAGAGACCTCGGGGGATGGGAAGACGGCCTCGGGAGAAGGCGTGCATTTCCGTGAGAAGACAGATGGAAGGAGGACCGTGTGCCACGAATATTAATGTGCCGGAAGCCCCGAGACCAAAATGAGCAAACCCGCCTGACTTCCCGTCTCATGTGTCTAAGAAAAGCACGGCTCTCTCGTCCACAGGGACCCGGATGCCGTCCCCGCACTTCACTCGGGGACGACAGCTCCCTGCCTGACAGAGGATCGGGGGAGAGATGAAGCCGGTGATCCGGCACCAAAGTCCAGAGGTGCTTAGAGAAAGGCGCTCCGTGTGAATGTGGGGGCTGGGACCCAACAGAGGTACTTCTGAGAGCTACCAGGCAGGCGCCAGACCAGAGCCTCGCCAGGACGGCTCCAGCCTAGGCAAGAATTTTCTAGAAAAACCTATATGAAAGGAAGAAGAAACAGGCGGGAAGAAAGGCCTGTGACTGGGACGCCCACCGGTTCTGTACCCAGGCTTTTCCAGCTGCGGCTCCGCCCATCACGGCACTCGGGGGGGAAGCCGCAAACACACGCCGCCACGGAAGTCACTGCCTGTGACCAAAGGGGACATGCTCCATCGAGACCTAGGAATCCACGGCGACAAGGCTTCAGCACAGGTCAGAGGAAGCGGACAGTGAGTTACCCAAGGGGCCAGTGAGGCACTGCAGGCTTCACAGCCCTTCCGGCACTTACCTTCGGGGTCCAGAATGACTCAACTCCACGCTCCCCGTCGCTCTGTAGGCCCCTCCTCCCCTTCCTCCCCAGAGAGCGAGCCGCGCTCTCCCCACCCTGCAGACAAGGCGGCCGGCACGGGCCGGGCAGCCCCGACACTCACTCGACGTGATGTATTCCGGAGCCTTCCCAGGGCTCAGGGGCACGGCCTCCTCGTAATAAGCTTCCGGGAGAGAGGACGTCGGGAGAGGTGGCGGCCCGCCGTCGGGTGGCTGAGGAGAAGAAGCGGAGACACCAGAGATCAGAACTGTCGCTAGAAAATTCTGTAGTGTGCATTAGCAGGTGTTGCCCAGCACTCCCCCCTTTCCTTGCAAAGTCCGTGGTAAAAAAGAACACCGTCCCACAAAAGGGGTTCTGAGTTCAGGCCCTGCCGGGGTCCCTATTGCTTCCCTGCCACGTCCACCCCGGCCCGGCCCTGGCCGTACCCCACAGGCTCCACGCCAGGTCGCCAGTGGCCAGCAGCCGTTCGCACCCGGCACAGCCTGCTTCCGGGGCAGGGGCGGACTCGCAGCCCTCTCTCGGACCCTCCCCAGAGCCGAGAGGGGGGCTCCCCTCCCCGTCCCCCACAGCACTGACCCTCCTGAGTCCCCAGGGCTCCGGGGCGCGGGAACCGTCCAGATCCGCCGCGAGGCAGTAGGTAGGCAGTGGCTGGACAGGCGAACGTGGCCGGCCCACACTCCCACCACGCCCCTCCCGTGGCCATGGACGCTTTTAAAGAATTATAAAAGAAAGTCGCCTACGAGCTGCTCTCTGAGAGAAACTTCTGTCGAGAAGGAGTCTGCTTGTGGCGGAAACCAATCCCGCCGCAGTTTCTGGTCAGACTCTGGGGCTGAGGCACCCTGGTTCTGAGGCCATACCTTCCGAACACGCGAGAGCCGGCGGGGACTGAGGCCGCCTTCTTCCCTCGCACGTGCCCGAGGAGGAGCACGTCCTCACCTCGCTCTGCACGGACACCCGGGAGTTTGTCGCTTCCCTCACTCGCTGGTCCTCACGCCGGCAGACGGCGGGGAGGGGAGGGCAAGGAAAGCCAGCATTTGCCAAAACCTGCTACCCGCCCGGAGCCGTGCCGGGAGCCTGTGCATCGGCCATGGGTGGCTCAGTCAGCCGCCTCCGGAGGCCTCCGCAGCAGACGTTACCTTAACTCACGCATCCCAGACACGGAGCGTGAGGCCGGGAGTCTAAACGGCCTCCCTGAAATCGAGCTGGGCTTTTTCCGACACCAGGCCTGTCCACTGAAGACCTTTTTGTATTCCCATCCTCTCTCTCCCTCTTGTGACTGGTTCACACGACCTACATCCAGCACATTAGAAAGATGTCACCGAGAATGGAACAGAACAGTGGCCCAGACGGACGATCCACCAAGTTAAGTGTCCAAGCACAACACGTTTCGAAGAAATCTTAAGGGTTTATACTAACTCTCTAGAATGTGAGACTCCACCACGGAAAGTGCAACTCAGCACCGGATCCAAGAAGTCCTTTGTGAATGACTAATCCCCCACCGTGCATCCAACCCACTCCTTCCTCTCGCCAGACGAAGGGTAATTTTCACAATTTTCCTCCATCTGCTTGAGGCCCGTTATCTGCCCTCCGCCCCGGGCCTGCGCCCCGGACTACACAACCCCCGTCTCCTCGCCCGCCTCCCACCGGGCTGCCTTCCCGACTGTCGTCATTCTGTGGTCGTCCGCTGGACGGCACCCAGCTCCTTCCTATCCTCCCGAAAAGGCAGTGCTTAAAACGGAACCCGCTACACCATGCTCTGCCCCAGGCCAGGTCTGAACAGGAGCCCGTGCCCGAGTTAAAATCCCTGCTTGTTACTCGTGGAAAAGATCTGCCTGCCTCACTGTGTGTCTTTATTCATGAAACAGAGAGGGTTTCAACTTCCTCTTGGAAGTTGGAACAGGCCAATTATTCATGGCCTGGGAGAGCGTTACGAACAGCTGACTCAAACAGACGTTTAGAAGGAGCACAGACCCCGTTCCTACAGCCGCAAGCTACTCTAAGCCGCACAGGGTGAGGGGCTCCCCTCCCAGCTGACGGGCTCCCGCAACTGACACGCAGCCGCTGCTGCTGGTCGCGGGTTTGGCACAGCTTCTCAGCAGGTGTGCCCTCAAGTCCCATAACTCCACGTCTTGTTTCTGTTAATTTTTTTAAATGTTTTATTTATTTTTGACAGAGAGAGAGAGAGAGAGAGAGAGAGAGAGAGAGCGCATGAGCGGGGGAGGGGTAGAGAGACAGGGAGACACAGAATCCCAAACAGGCTCCAGGCTCCGAGCTGTCAGCACAGAGCCCGACGCGGGGCTCGAACTCATAAACTGTGAGATTGTGTCCTGAGCAGAAGTCGGACACTCAACAGACTGAGCCACGCAGGCGTCCCCCCGTCCTCATAATTCCACTTCTGGAAACACATGGCGAGAGGGCCACCAGTCATGAGAGCAAAAATGTGTAAAGATGTTCAATAAAAGTTTAGTTAGCAAAATCTAAAAACAATCTCAAAGTTCACCAAGAGAAGAACGCTTAGGTGTGCCAACCCACTCACGTGCAGACGTCAGAAAGGTCAGCACGCGCCTGCTACAGTCACTTTCTTGGCAAACCTTCCCTGGACTCTGTTCGGTGGGAGAAAGCCGGCACGCCGGAGCCCTTCGTGGAAAATGTGTGTATTTAGGCTTACACACATACACAGACGGGAGGTCATTCACCAACGTGTTAACAAGCATTTGCATATCTGTGTAGCTTGGCTCGTCCATGTAATATTTACCATTTCTAAAATCAGTAAAAAATTAAGCTACCTTGGCTTCGAAGAAATACCCCTCAAAAACATCATTCTTACGGGGGAACACCCTCTCTCTCCCCAAAGGGCCTACACTCCACTCCCAAATACTCCTTATCCTGGAAATTCTGGGTTTCAGTCAGAGAAACCACGGCTTGTTAAGTAACAGCAAGTGTGGGAAAGGCTAAACAGAGGGACCCGAGCTGTTAGTATTGTTGCTTTCAGAGGAGAAGCTTCTTTCTGAGCCTTTTCAATAGTAAGAGTTCACTGAAATCACCATTACCAGGAATTTTTAGAGGGTGGCTGGGAGCCTGGGTGGCTCAGTGGGTTAAGTGTCAGACTCTTGATTTTGGCTCAGATCATGATCTCACGGTTCGTGAGATCAAGACCCTGGTCAGGCTCTGTGCTAACAGTGCACAGCTTGCTTGGGATTCTCTCTCCCTCTCCCCCCCCCGCCCCTCCCCCACTCACACACTATCTCAAAGTGAATTTTTCTAAGTACAGGAATTTTTCTAAGTACAAAACACAGAAGGCAGATTTCCAAAAGGGCTCATGGAAAACCAGAGAAGGCAAGGGGAAGGAAACAGGAATCTAGCACAAAGAGGACGAAGGCCAATTCGTTGGCACGGACCGCGTGTGGGGCCAGCGCCGTCCTGGGGCCGCGTCACCTCCCCGCAGCTCTGGGCCCCGCTGTCCTCACTTGTAAACAAGGGCGCCTGTGACGTCCACCCCAGCTCTCGGGCTCATTCCAGCGTTCCTGTAAAGCTGCAGGTCAGCAGGCCATAACACCAGCTTGACCGGTCTGGAGAGTCCCGGGAGAGTTGAGCTTGGGGCCTCATTTTGTGGTAATGACACTAGTCCCTGGCCAGGGCGGCCTCTGAGGTGCACCTTCTAACGGCGACACCAATCGCCAGCGTGACGCCAACCTAGACCGTGCACGTTGCCCTCGATACAGAAGACAACCAGTCTGCACACGGAGCCTGGCCGCTGTCCTGCCCCCGCCCCCCGCGTCTCCTGCGCTGGCCCCACAAACCACCCCCACAGCCTCTGCAGAGACTTGGGGAGACACGCGAGAGACTGTCCTCCTGGAGGGATGACTGACCCCTGGTTGCTTGGCCGCGCCCCAGACATGAACGGACCGGCACCGCATCAGTCACTAGACATCGTCAGATCCACAGAAACATTTCTCCCTCGAATTAATACTTCAGAGAAAGTTACTCCGTAGCTTAGGAACTCTCTCCTGCCTTAAGGTAAGCTTCTCTTCCGAGGCGTCCGTGTCTTATTGGAGGAACCCGCACCTACGGCTGGACAGAAATCCAATCTACAGGCTTGCTTGGCTCTCCGCATCGGCCATAATCCAATTCCTCTCTTTCTGGAAGGAAAAGCCCATTAGCATCTGCCTTTGCTAATTTAAGGAGAAGCCTTCAGGGACCTATTTTCCCATTGATAATAATAAATATCATGTTTATATAACTGTATAGTAGAAGCGTAATTATCATCGTTATTATGACCCTTTTGGCAATCAAACAATGGTACCTGCCATTTACTGCTGGCCTACCGCACGCCAGACATTGTTCTGGGTACTTTATATGTGTTTTCTCCGGTTCAGAAATTAACACTGAGATGCTGGTATTTTGATGATGATTTTACTTAATGAGGAAACTGAGGCCAGGAGGGGGAAGGCCCCCACACGGAGGTCACACACACGCGGAGCTCACTGGTGGAGGAACTGGAGGCCGGCTGGAGAGGCCCGGGGCTGAGCTGGAGGCCGGGGACCGGAACGCAATACACTTCCGTGCCTCGACCTTATCCCACTGCACCTGCTGCCATGCCCGCCACAGGAAGGAGCCTACCAGTCCGCTGAGGCGCTGGGTCCAGGGTCATTCCCATCGTCTCCTCACAGAGGCGGCCATTCCACCTGCCCAGCGCCCTTCGGGGCTCCCTGTCTGTCACGCTGCTCCCCACCACCTTCCCTGCTGCCCCAACCCATCTCTCGGGCCTCTGCGGCAGAAACAATAAGCTAAGAGCCCTGATTCTAGCCAAGAGTCTGAAATCACCTGGAATCACTTTTTTAAGTTTGTT